CAAAATGATATGACTAAATAAACCTTTACAATCCCCTTTAATTAATGCAGAAAATAATTTGAAAGTAACTAGTAGTGTTGCATTACATACTCACTATATAACAGTTCTGATTAATACTTCGGTGAGTAACATCCATTAACCTGAAAGTGTCAATCATGAAACAATAAGGGCTAATTAATTCTATAACATGGCGTGAAATTTGACAGGATAGAATTCGATATTGTAAAAAAATTTGGATTTAGAATGACAAGTAGAAACAATTCGGAGTGAGAATAGTAATAATCACAATATTCGTAGTAATGTGGGAACTGTACATAGATTAACTGAATAAACAAAATAAATAAATAAATGTATATCCCTCTATGGCGAAGGCAGAATTAGGGATTGTGCATACTTCTTTTGTACACAAAAGTTTGGGTAAAATTCATGATTGGCCAAGTCCTCTGTTGTCTTTAGAAGTTTATAACAAAGAAAACGCGGCAAGTTAGCATGGATCTGGTAGATGATCTTAAAATCATAGTCAGAGCTGGTAAAGTGACAAAAGTCGATCAAGTGTTCTAGAATAGGGCTTCGCACACCTCTCCTTTCTCCCTCGTAAAACCGTGATAGAATATGTTGTCGTGTCAGTGTGGAAAGTGTTCTCTGGCTACGGACAATGTACGTTGTTCCACAAAAGCAGGTGAACTGATAGATTCACATAGAGGCGGTCAGACGGAGGAGCTTGTCTTTTACAGAGATGGAGAACAACTTGCAGCTGGTGAACGTCGTTTGTAATTTCGCTGAAAAAAACGTCTTACTCAGTGATTTAGAGAAACGATTTTTGAGCATATCTGCAGCTTGATCACCTTTGAATTCCAAGTTCATGAATAAGGTTTTCTTTGGAGCTGAGTCGGTGACCAGTTTTTACAGCTTATCTATCCTGTTTCTGTCAATAAATCGGTTCGGGTAACCGTTTTCTGCGAGTGATTCCCTCATTGGTATAATTTCTTATTATATATATATATACGATTGCACAGCTTGATAATAAATTCGTTAAAAACAGTTTATTCTTTGGGTATTGTGAGCTTAATTTTACAATGGGAGTCATTAAATAATTAGTTCTATCATTCATAAAACTTGAAGCAGCATGATTTACTTGCTAGGAGTTTACATTCATCAGCAAGGCAAACGGGAGAAAGATGAGAGAGGCGATAATCATTAAAAGCCTTATAAAATCTCTTGCATATAAGTCATATCGTCAAGTTGGTCTACCAAAGATGTATGTACGGTGTTTATGCATACATATGTTTCTGATATTGACATTCCAAAAATAACTCTAGAATGCTTACAAACTAAGCTTTATACATTTTATAAGTGTTAGGGTATGGGGAGACAAGTACACTGGCGTTTTCTTTGCATTTGATTGCAACACATTACAAAAACCAAATCTACGACCATACTACTCTCATTGATATGTTTTCTTTTAAAAGGAGGCAGTTTCATAATGTCGGGTCTTTAGTGTTCATTAACAGGCATACTACTTTCGATTGATAGAACCTAAACAGTCAATGTCGAAAACTATTGCGCAGGGAATTAAGGCTACCTGTTACAATGATCCTGATTCTTGCATGAATGTTTGAGTTCAACCATTACCAAAGACCATGCAATAAAAACACAGGTCACTTTCTAGTAACTCATCACTGTAAATAATTACTAAGACATTCATTTTTACTCTACTCCTAGAATAATGTCCAAACAGAATGTATATTTCTTTCGACCGATAAATTTAGAAACAATGAAAAGCATTTTTTAAATAAATACATTTATTTTACCCTAAGGCTTTCCATTAACTGAAAATAACACGGGTACAATAACTGTTCAAACTAGTTAATAACTGACGTAGAAATTGCAAATTTGTACTAAGTAGTCTGGCAGTGGGGCTATTTTGGGAAAAGAATACTGATTATGCTTGTCGACAGAGTATCAGCAATAATTAAAATGGTGACAGGGACTGTTGTATTATAGAACACTAATTACTTTACCAGACTCTAGTATACGACCGGACCAACTGTATCTGTGTATTTAACACAGAAAACGAATCAGGTATAACTTAATGATGATTAGGAGAAATGATTCTGCACGTCAGTCGAAAGGTTTTAAGAACACAATTCTTAGTAGGACAGTTTTTTTTAAATTCTCACTGAAGTAAGTTATCTTAATCCCTTGATAACATATTCAAACAGTTTGGATGTATGTCACTGGCCTAGGGACACAACATGCATTGTCATTTAATAATAATAATAATAATAGCTTTATTCCAAACAGTATTTGTGGTATGGTATGGAAATTTTCAACGTTCATTACAATATATTGCATCTGATTACCTCATAAATTTTATAAGATTTTAAAATCAAAAAGCAGCACCCCAAAAAAGAAGATAAATAAATAAATAAAAGAACATCGTTGCGTTTACATTTTAAACAATGTACCGCGGGAAATGAAATATAAAATTGGTGTGTAATACTGGTTCATGTACATATGACATTTTATTTGGGAGATAAGAGTCATCTCTACACTCTAATCTGAGGGGACACAGTGATTTTTTATTGCTACATTCAAATGTAAGTAAGAAGTGATTGTAATGATGCATGTTAGCAGACACCATCTTGAAGCCTTGCTAACAGTAACAAAGCACCGCTTTATTTTGTTTCATTTCACCTGCAGACAATTCAGTTTTTGTAGGTATGAAAATGCATGGATTTATTTAAGTCCGTGGACTCTTGGAATGCACTTAGGATTAACAACCAGAGAGGTGAAATGTTATATTCCTAAGTATTTTTTGTATTCCTTCACCTTCCCATTGGAACATACCACTTCAAGCTAGTGGCTTGAAGTTTCTGTAGCAGTGGGGATTATTTTTACAGGACGGGGTTGCTAGACTCATGGCCAACCTTATCTCCTTTACCAGTCTTACTACTGACTTAGCGAGGTAAAGGAGTGAGTAAGCCGAGGATCGAACCCCGGACCATGTGCATGATCGGCTAGCGTCCTAACCGCTGTGCCAACGACGAGCACTATTGTTTTGCTGAAACACTAAGAGATCTTTAACGATAACGGAAAGTTTTTGTTGGCAGAGTTATAAAGACAGATTAAAGATGTACTTTAACGGGAAGAATTATGAATACTTTGAACAGAGGGGCATAAAAATCATTCAGCGGTTGTATTTTGTTTTCTAGATGGAATTTTATTGTAAAATGATGAATACATGTCAAATTAATTACTGATCAACATTTATGAAGACCGTTTTCAACACAAATTATGATCAGAATGAAACCTTTTGAAGATGAGGAGGTAATAAACTTTTTCTGACACATTACCGAGTGAATTCCACAAATCCATGCCATGTATACCTACACAAATTTAGTCAAGATATGGTATATCATTGACGGTTTTCCGCTCAGATTCAAAAGGTTCTGACATTTTTACCGCAAACTGACGGTGAATTTTTATTCGTAGAAGGAGAAAAACTCAGTCTAGGCATAATTTGCAATGATAAATTTACAAAACTTTATATGCTATGCTGTGGATATGAAATGTATTGAGCATATATAATCATCGTCCACCTCAACGTGTTTTGTTAGTTGAAGTTGAATTAGATTATAAAAGGGTTAAGATTATTCTAATCAAGAAATAATAGCAGTTCATGAATTCACTAAATGTTTACCTGAGTCATGAAGGGATTGTAGGCTGCTTAGTTAGTATGCATCCAGCTACGACAAACAGCGGTTGTGTATTTTCTTCATTTAGTCCATAATGTCTTATTTACTTGCTCAGCCTTATAGTACTGTACCACTTTCGATTAAATTATTCCGACTTCTTCTCCTTCCTTTTGTTTACCTCCTACTTGATTCACCGTTGTGAACTAGGTCAGTGTGATCACTACTGCGATACTGTTTGTCTGTAAACTTTATTGTTTTCCATGGTCGGTGTATTCTTCATTAGTATTTTGTAGATTTGGATATGGATGAGTTGAACGATGGATAGTTTGTTGGTTGACATCTTAATTCTTGACTGATATGTCTTTATATGAATTATCCTGGCTGATTCTATCACTAAACTTATTGTTGCTGTTCGTACTAAGAATGAATTAAGTTTTATTAGTCTTCATATTTTTCTAGATTAATGATACGTATAGTCTTGCTGTTCGAAGACTTGTCAATAAGTTCATATTTTTCTTCCTTTTCAGCATCGAGGTTTGACATAATAGTTTACGTTATTCACTGGATGATTTTCTTTCAAAATATTTTTCTTATAAGGTTTGATAAGTTTTTAAAGCTAACACTTTTGAAAAACTTCAGTGTGAGTGGTGCAATGTGTTAGTAATATTCACAGATCCCAGTCCATTTAAAATAATGAATCAGAATCAATTGATCTGAACTTTTACAGACACCAGAAATATAAGTTACAGTAGTCTAGCTAGTTAAATGTACAAATCAGTATGAGCATCCTCTAACTACCACTGTTATTAAGTAATATTTTCCTACACTACTTTAAGCTCTTAGAGTGTGACTAACAAACAACTGATAAACAAGGATAATCATATTTTTCATTTATTACAAATTCCATATTTTGAATGAATAATTGATTTGAAAAGATGGTTTATTCACTTAAATCATGAACTGGCAAAAGCTCGAATCGATGAGTCATCATATTCTGCCTCAGACGCTGAATGGTCAGCTGACTTGCCTCTTAATCTGAAGTTCCTGGGTTCGATTCTTGGTGGGGTCATTCGTGTATACTGCTAAAGAGTCCCAAACTTCGAATGGAATATCGGTCTAGTAATTCGTTGTCTCAAAGGATTGATTAACTGATGTCATTTCGTGAAACTTGAAATCAACCAGTATGTTTTGTCCATCTACACCTCTGCATTTTATCATTATTATTATCAATTTAGTTGAGCTGGAATTAGTTTTAGTCAAATAATTTTATGATTCAATCTGTTTTTTTTTGTTTTAAACAAGGAAATCCTCTTGTACCTTTTGGATCACTTTAAACGGTTAACTAATAACTGTGAAGTCAATAAAATGGATACACAGAATCTAGCAACATGTCTCGCTCCAGTTTTATTTTATCCATCACCGAACTCTGCTCGAAGCCTGGATCCAAATGTTTTAGAACCTAGAAAAATGGCTGAAATATTTAAATTTATTTTGGAAATATGGCCAGATGACCGCTCAAGATCACACAAATTTAACGCAACTGAATCATGGATTTCCCCGTATTCCTCTAATATCCCTCTTCCTGAAGACCAGCATCAAACAGGATACCATCATCATCATCCTAAGCATCGGTATGATCAGTCGAGTCATCGAGCATCAAGTGCCGTTAGGTCGACATTATCCGGACCAGCTGGAACTGGAGTGGGATATCGATCACCGCATACAGTGCAAAGATCTAGTATTCTTACTGGTAAAGCTGAGTCAGGTAAAGTGTACTTTTTATAAAGATGTTAACAGCTTGATCTGAACAAAGATGATAGAAATATTTTAAACACATGATATATTGAAATACTTCAACTGTTCAGATTCGAAAAACTATTGCTCCTTAGTTAAGTCAATTCATATCCTTGAGAGAAATACGTTTAATCGAAAGTGTGAAGCATGTTGCACAGACCATTGTCAAAATGACATTAAACGTAGGTCAAACCGAGCTCTTAGCATCTAACAGTAGTAATAATGACAGGTCAGTATAAAGTTACATGAAATAGGACTTTGGCGATTAAAACGGGTTAGTATGACATTAATCACTAATTAACTTTTGAATGAATGAGTTTCATTCTACAAGGAATAAGTTAAATGTATAGTTGACATAAGTGATGAAGGCTGCGATAAAATGGAAACCTAATATAAACACTACACGACACTGTATTGTATCGTTAAGCAAGTGCATTAATAGAATAATTTACATGATGTAGTACTCACTGTTTCAGTATTTGTATTTATTCACTTACTTATTGATGACGGTCCAATAGTATAAGACATGTTGCTAGGCTATTCAAATACAATGCATCACATACCTGTACCCGAATTCTAGTATGAATGGCATGACGACATGTCTTACACCATCAGTCCTGGCGACCTTTCACACAGAAATTACTGTTTATAATCATATCAATTTAGAAAATTATTCTTCACCACAATGCTAAAGTTCTTTTTTATTACTTTATTAGTAAGTTCTCCACTGATTAAGAAAATTACATCTGTTGTCTGGATTAAGTATCATCCCACTAAATGTATTTTAGAAACCCTCTTGAGGCTTCACTGTATAAACTGACCTTAGTAAATTTCACTGCTCTTAGAAGGTTGGTCCGAAGGCTTGATTAATGTATGCCTTATACTAGCAAATATGCTATGATCATCACACGTGACCATTGTAAACATACCAAAGTTTATACTAATTACCAAACACTTCAGTGCTTACAGTTATTGGTCAACAGGCAACATGTGATACAACAAAGACTTATTTAACATTTAGATCTTCTGATATAATCACTTCGTTGAGCAGTCCCTTGCGTATACGGCTAAACGGATCACATTCATTTAAGACGTACTACTGCGTTAAAATAAAGTTACTAATATTCAAGTGTTGGTTTGTAGAGGTTTGACTGGTTACAGGATTTCATCATGAGCTGACATGGGTTAGAGAACCACTGGAAAACCTGGGAGTACTGAACAACTGTTTCGTCCTGGTTTGGGACTCTTCATCAGTATACGAACTTGCCTCGTAACCAGAAGGTCCTTGGTTCGAAATCCGGTGGGTGCGTACTGCTGAAAAGTCCCCAACTAGGGCGAAACAGCTGTTCAGTACTCCCAGGTTTTCCAATGGCTCTCTAACCAATGTCAGCCCATGATGAAATCCTGTAAAGTTACTAATACTTAACTAATGTAATGAGGGGATGAGGAATGAGGAATCTACAAACACTACTTAATTTGCAGAACTGTTTGAATCATCGAACAGTACCCTACCAAGTGAGCTTCACCAACCAGTCAATAATTTCTAATTTATGTGATGGCTGCTTGAATTTAACATTAAATGAAGTGAAAGTGCCACTCGATTTGAGTTTGTAGCTCAGCAATCAGAGCAGTGAAATGGTAGTGTGGATGTCTCTGATCTGAATACTACAGTGACTGAGATGTTTCTTTAAAGTTCACCAACTGTCTTAAAACAACTACTTAACTAAAAAGTAACAATCTGTAATTTCATCATTTGCAAAAAATTAGACTTGATGAAAAATACTTATCACATTTCATTATTGATAAGTGTATTTTCCTATAAAAAAACACAAGTGAAATTCTAGAAAAGATTTTTAAATATACAAGAAAAAGCTTTTAAAACAAACTTGTCAATGTCGACGTTATCAATTTTTCAGCATGAAAAATTTTCAACTTGTCAGGAAATCAATTAGAGCAATTGTAATTAGAAATTACTGACTAGAGAGTATTTACAAAAGACAACAACAAAAAATCAGTGTGAATGTAACTTTTTAAAATATTTTTTTTATTTGCAGTTTGATTTTTGTCACATACTAGTATCAGTGAGAAAGCCAATGAAAACAAATGGAGTACCAGACAGCTGTTTTATTTTAGTTTAAATATTCTGTAGCAGTTGGTATCCCCACTCCAACCTTCCACGTTCCATAACAGGATGAAACACATGTCGATATCCTCTTGCCGTTTTATGACTGCTTAAATAATGTGAGTTTGGACAGTCTAAAATTAGATCGATGATTTTTGTGAACTTAACCTCTGAATATGTTTATGTGCACTTGAATGTGAGATGAAATGCCTCGGTGATGAAGTACACAATGATGACGTTTCCTTCCAAGTTCCAAAAGTGCAAGTAATAACATTCAATACTAGTTTGTTAGAATTGTTTGCAGCTAGTAAGCAAAATTAAAACTCTACGCCACTTAAAGTTGTATCTATTCGTTGTTAAATTATTCATATTTCTCACCGCCTGCTTACATTCGTCGTAAACGTAATTTTAAGTCTGCCTGAAAAAACCCGATATACAACAATACAAAAGGAATAGTAATCCATTTGATTTGATACTTCAGATCGTGGTTAAAAAAATAGTTGAAATGCTAAGCATAAATACTAGTATCCAGGCTCAGCTTCTTTTCAGTCACACGGTGCTTTTTACAGTCGTCTTTCGAGTGATTTGAGTAACAGTCTAACTGACTGACAGAAACAGTCACCATTTGGTTCTTTCTTGACTTACCTGCATAACCAAATCTTCTGCCCCTAATCTGAACCAAAGTGAACTACATCTAAGCACCATGTAGGCTATGGTAAGTGGAAGCCAAATTGATACCTGAAATTCAGAACAGATTGAGTCTGCATAAAGTAATAATGAGTGTAGAAAAATTTCTTAAGAAAAGGTTTTCTACAAATAAGAGTGTTCACCTCGACAACGGAACATTGGAAAAATAAAAACAAGTTGAAAGAAAAACTAAATGAGAAAGGTCTTCTCTGGCGAATCTTACATCTCGAACAAGTAGAGAAGAAGCTGAGGTCTATTCGCAAGATAATTGAATCTTAATAATAATAATTATTGTTTCCTTTAGTTTCTAGAGGAACATAGGGCACGTATTCATTGCGTTCGGTTCTCTGCCAACGCTTTCACCTGGCTCCACGTCTTCCCACATGATTTCATCTCCTCTTCACATGACCTCCTACATTTCACTCTCGAACTCGCCACCTCCCGTTCGGGTTCGACTCAAGGGCCTGTCTAGTGATGTCGCTTTCTGGTTTCCTCAGAGTATGGCCACTCCACCTTCATTTCTTCCTTCATATTTGTTGCACAATCTGTTCCTGTTGGTTTTGTTCGCTCCCAGAGATCCCTCCCTGTTGCTGATCTTTTCTGGCCATCTGATCTTGAGTACTGAGCGAAGACAGCTGCTGATGAAGGTCTGTAGTTTGTTTGAGGTGCTCTTCGTGACGCGGCGTGGTGCCAAGTCTCTGATCCATGTAGTGAATAGCACTGACTTCCCACTGGAGTTGAAAATCCGGACCTTATTTTGATTTTATCATGCTGAGTGCTGTTGACCTCCACACCAACCTAAGAGTAATGCCTTGCTTTCTCGATCCTCGCTGTGATATCCTCATCAGTTCCGCCTGTCTGTAGTTGAAACGATGCTTCCCAAGTCGGTAGGTGAGTAGGTAAGGAAGGTTGCTTCTTTCAGATTTCTTCCATTTATGCCGATTGTTGTCTGTTGTTGTTGCTGTTGCCGTTGGCCAGGAATCTTCATCACCTCTGTTTTCCGAATGTTCATCTGAACGCCTATGTTCTCTGGATTCTTGTTCTGCCAACTCGTTGCTTTTCACTTGCATATCTTCCAGTGTGTGGGGAATCAGACATATATCATCAACGAAGTTCAGATCCTCCAAGTTTTTTGTGTGAGTGCATTTTTCATGCCTGTTTCCTCGCTGTCCGCTGTCTGTTTGTCGCATTATCCAGTCTACCGCAATCATGAAAATCATTGGAGATAGTAGACAGCCAACTTGTCTTACTCCCGTCTTCACTTCGAAGGATTCCGTGAGTTTTATATTGTGATTACTTGGCTTGCAGCATTGTCGTACACTGTTGGATGAGATGTAGAATTGTTGGCTGCAACCCTTGGTAGTAGCGAATTAATTGTCAAATCACCTTTCGATCGACGTTGCACTATCGAAGACCTTTTCAAAGTTTATGAAGCTGAGATAGAGAATCCTAATAAAACTAGTAAGAAAACTTGATAATTCTAATAGAAATTTGTCTTGAAAGCACGTTTTCCTATGGACGAAATTCTTCAAATGATAATCACATGGCTTTAAGTGAAAATCCACTTGGGTTTCCTATAAAATCCAAAATAATCAAATGACACAGTGATTTCATATTAGTTTGATTATTAAATGTATCACACAGTGAAACAGTATTGTATACTGGATGACGTTGATATGATTACGAACAATAAATTGTGTTCGAAACGTCATCCAGTATACAATACTGTTTCACTGTGTGATACATTTAATAATCAAACTAATATGGAATTACTTAATACCACAGTGCCCAAGTTTTACACATATATTGACACAGTGATTTGTTTGATACTATAAGTGGAAATTAAGGAAGCGAAATAAACAGTAAGATGGTAAATACTGTTAACTGATGTGAGTGAATGGAATCCATTCACGTGAGCCAACAGTGCTTGCTAGCCTAGATCAATTCGATCCAAACACCGAATAGCTTTTCGGTGGTTTACAGTAGACCACATCAACTCACCTGTGTATAGGTAAGAAGCACCACTTGTATCAGTCACTAATATAAACCAGGTTTTTATTTGTTTAATACTAACCGATTAAGAACATGTTATTCTGGATGCTTTTAGTAAACAGTAGAAATAAATTCTGCACGTAAATATGTTATTGTGTAGTCAATGATATCGCAGTGTCTAATTTTCACTAAGCACCTAAACTAACTTAAAAAGTGTTCAGTACATTCCTCCTGATAATGTATATTTCTGTATTAAGAATTTTTGCTCATCTTCACTCATAAATGTGGTACGTTTTGAATCTGAAGTAATCTATGACTTTACATTAACTTAAACAATTTGGGGTGGAAATGGAATCATTCCATTCTAATGTGCTGTCAACAGTTATCATGCTTTAACTTACTGACTAATGCAGCCATGTGTATCATCTTAATTAAGGAGTGAAACAGGTATTTGTTTAATATTCATAACACAACCTTATTATTGAAAATGGAAATTTTATTATTTGTTTTTTCCCTAAAATAGATATTTAAAACAACTGTTCATAAAATTGATGAGTTTTAACGGCCTGTGGATAAATCATTATGTTTGTTGTGTTATTTTATCTTCAAATATGGCTTTACAGATAAATCAGATTATGCAGGCATAAGTCGAAGTGGAAAGTTAAAATATGGCAATGGTTCTAACGGTTCATCAAGACATGGAATTAACCCAGAAGAACATAGAAGGACTAGCCGTGATCCCCGCCAAACTGTCAGTTTCGGTAACGCGAAAACCATAAGAACCCATTCAACACAACGAAAGACTATGTCTCAAACGGATATCAATCTAGGCAGTAACCGAGGGTATTCAGTTGGCTTTGATTTCAGAGATCAGCAAGTCATTCCACCTACTGATGATTCCAGCATTCGAGCCCATCCTCGTTTTCAAGACATACCAACAACTGGTTCCACTGGAACAGATAGTGGAACAAGATCAAGTTTATCAGTTGGTTCAAGACAACCTTGCCCGCCACCACATACCAGCTCATCTGTTGACAGGGGGACACATAGTGAACTCATCCGAAGCTCTAGTCAAGAACGTCAACATTATGGGCGGGCACACAGACTTTCTAGACGCTCTCATCCGTTCAGTTAGTACATCTTCAGCCGGAATTATAGTTCAGAGCATATTTTTGACAGACATAACACAAGAATCCAATTTGTCTGTTTTCTATTAAATCTACGGTCAGATCACCTGACTACAGCTAGGCCTTCTTCATATAACTTCAAATTATCATTGTTTTGACTGAACTTAAATCCTCTTCAGGTACGATAAGTTTGTTTTCACTAAGTACAAAGGATTTCTCATCACTATAAATGTTATGTGAAACCCGTGTTGTCATGATGTTAAACTAGCTGAAGTCAGAATGAAGCAATAAGTTAAAATTTGAGCTGTGGTAAAGGAAATAAATTAATTTACCATTTTCTGAAATAATGCTCATGTCACGCGAACCTAGTGACATGAATTAGTCGATAAAAGAGTTTATCTCTTATGTACTAATTTTTACATCTTTCACAATAATTTTGTCCGCTTTATCTTCTTCACTGTTTCACTTCTTCTTTATTCTCATCGTATGTTGGATTCACTTCACCATCTGCAATATGAGATACTTTCTGTAAAACTTCTGCATATACATACACTCATCCTCTTTATGAATTCATTCTTGATGATTCATTGTTCAATATCGATCTGGTTTCAAACAAGTTTCCCTATTACACATTATTTCATTTTTCTCAACATACTATAAAGAGATATTGTGTTTATCATTGAACTAAAAGGTACATAAGTTATGTATATGAACTAATGCTGAATAATTGAAATAAATAAACATGTAGGATTTTCATTACAACTTACACTTGAAATGTTCATCATCTGCATTTTCTTCTCATGACGGTTATGATTATAATTATAATAACTGTTATTACTACTGCTATTATTATTGTTATGTTATTAATATTATGTGTTATTCACAATATCTATTATTCATAACGCATACTACCTAAACTGGGACATTATTGATGAACATTTGGATTTTTGTCTAACTCTTTTCTTTCGTTTAGTTTATAATTTATGGTAAATGAAGTGAATGAGTCATTACCTGTTTTAATTTGTTGGCTGGACCAACAATTTCTATTATTTTGCATTCAGTATATACATATTCATATACATACAGACGCACATACAGATTGACCATTCTGCTCATCTCAATTATGACAATGACGTGAAACAGAGAACAGATTGATATTTGATAGAACAGAATTTATGTATGTTATTCGAATATACGCACAGTAATATATATATATATATATATATATATATATTACATGCTTCAATATGTACATGTCTTGCTTGTACACAAGTTTGCTTATAAATACAGTATATAAATGAAACGCTACTACTACAAAAGTATAGAAATCACCTGAACTTAGCTTCAACATACCAGATGGATAAATAAATACACTGTGTAGCAGATTAAACTGTATTTTCTAAGTTGAGTATATATATATATATATATATATATATATATATATATATATATATATATATATATATATATATATATCCTAGATATCTAGACCTAGAGGTTCTCTTTTGTTTAACATTAATTATACACATTATCATTCCTATCCCTATCACTCTATAAGTGTGACAATTACTGTTACTGATACTAATATTAATACAATTATTATTAACCCCCTTATTAATAATACTTATATTGCTTATATTTCTGTTTATGTTCTATATTTTGAAACCCTTCACCTAATGTTTCCACTCATTCTAATCTTTTTGAAATTACCGATTGAATTTGTAACCAGTAGATCATTCAGTGAGAAAAGCATCTTTTCTCTTCTTCTCTTATACTTCTTGTTGAACTCGTTTTCGTATGTGTTAGATAGTGTAAAATTGAAATAATTAGTAGCAAGTAAATAGACAAACACAAAGATGCAAATTTCTCCACAGACGTATTTCGGAAACGCTATAGACAACTTCACGAAATTACTCTTATTTCAAAAAACGTGGTGGGCCAAACTGAGTTTGTTTTCCCCTATCCATTTCTTTGTGTGGTTTCCATTTTTTGGTCTTTTAAAATGTTTAGTACAGATAAAGATAACAAAAACTATTACATTTTAATTGTTTTCTAGTTACTTTATGGGACATGGGAGTAGAAACTATTCAGTGAACTGATCAGATTTAGCAACTACCAATTACAGAATAATCACCAACACTTATTGAAACTACTACGTGACTTGCATGTTTCGTGGAGGTAACTTCTTGAAGCTCTAGACCTACATAAAAGATTTGCTGTGCAAGTTTGGGTATTTCGGAAGAATCACCGTAGGCTGCGTAGCTAAATAAGTCCGCTCAAGTACCGATCTCCAAATAACAAGCAACAGCCAATATTTTGTGTAAGATTCACGTTGTTAAGTGAAACTTAGGTAAAGTTAAACTCTGAGCACTAGTAACTACCACAGGAGTGCGTCCACACAGATGACCTGAATGGACCAATGAGATTCTTCACTTGAGTTTAAGGCTTGGTTCTGCTTGCTTCAAGTGAAGTGCCTGCTGTAACGGAGTTACGTCTTAAATTTGGTGTACACTGAGTATTCCAGTATTGTTTGGAGTGAATGGAAAGAGAAGGATTTATTCCTGTAACGGTATTATGAGTATAAAAAGCTTCAGTAGATCGGCTGACAGAAGCATTCACCATTGTAAAGATTGTTTGAAACTAGTTAATATAAGGGGAATTAAGCTGATGGTTACACTATTTCTCAAGAACAATTTTTGCCAGATCCTATTTGTTATTAACCCGGATTTTGTGTATTTTTAATTACTGGGTTTTAAAACACTCTGTTACAGGTACAGCTGTGAAACGGAGAATAATCTCGTTTCATCAGTTCAGAGGTACTGGCACTGCAGACATAGAGCATCTTGGAAGACGGAAAAAGTTAGTTCTTTATTGGGAGGAGGTTCTGTACATATAGATGAAATAGTAATAAACAGAGGAAACACAACGGTACTTGTGAAGAGAGCGAAATAACGTTTCAGTGATTACATTATATGATATCAATTTACAGAAAGGATTCGATAAAAGAACATCATGCTTCAACACCCATTGAGAATGATGGTAGACATTGAATGGACGTTCAATGAACTTGTTTATTCGAAACAGTTTCCTGTTCTTTGGGGCAACAATCTCCGTCGTAGACCAGACATTTGCTCATTGACAGAAGACCGGAGCAATACGATCAAAAGTATTTATGTATGCTATGCTGACATTAATTGTAGACATTTTTAGTGTACTGACAGTAACCAACTGTGAATCACGTGGTGATACTGCTGTGTAACTAACCTGCCATACTGGTTTATATTTGGTGGACAAATAAATCTACGACTTACCATTTGTCCTTTAACAGTGCTTCAGTAGAAATCGGGTTGGTTATCATACACATAAACCTCACCTAGTTAACTGGCTTGTTAGTTTTCTAGCCGGTCTCAACTCCCGATAAAGAGGGAGGGTTGCGCGTGGGACTAGCAACCACACACCAAAAAACCTAAAAAACTACAACAGAAACTTTAACACACAAAAAATACCTTAAAAATACAAAATATTCAGAAAACAAATTTACTCGACGGTGGAATCGAAGAGGCGAAATGATACAGAAGGCTGGTGAAACCCACCTCTCGGGAAGCCAGGCAGCCAGCCGATCTATCTTCTCTCGATAAAAGCAACAATAAGAATGGGGACGTAGAATGTTCGTACAATGTACAAGGCTAGGAAGGCTGCCCAGGTGGCCGAGGAAATGAGAAGATATGGCTGAGAGGTGCTGGGTATCTGCGAGAGCAAATGGAATGGAAGTGGATTGTCAAAATTTTCAACAGGAGAGTCAGTAATCTACTCCGGTCTGACCACCTAGACGACAACCACAAAAAACTGAGGCACTGAGTGGCTATAATGATGACACCAGTGTCAGCCAGAGCCCTAATGCAGTGTGAACCAAACACCTCCGTCAGGATCATGACAGAAAAATTCAACTCGAAAGGAAGAAGGAACGGTTACAATTATCATGCAAGGCGAAACAAACAATGCAAAACAGGAGAAGGGAATAGATTTTTACAGGAAACTACAAACAGTAATGGACAACATCCAGTATGGTAACATAAAAATCCTAAGGGGCGATATGAATACCAGCTGGACTGGGAGAATAGATAATACATGAGAGAACTCATTATGTGTCAAGAGGCACTGGTTCAGTGAAATGCATGAGAACGGAGAATTGTTCGCAGACTTCTGAGCTTTAAGTGACATGGGGATCGGAAGCAGCGTGTACAAGCACAAGGATATACACAAAGTAACATGGATTTCGCCTAACGGACATACAACAAACCAAATAGATTTCATATCAATGCTGCTCAAGGAAGTGGAGACGCAGCTAACTTGTTGGATACAAATTCGAGAAGGGGAGCAGATGTGGGCAGGCTCAGACCATCATCTATTTCAAGGAACCTTCAAGGTGAAGCTGAAATCCTTTAAAACTACCGGGGACAGGCCGTAATTCACGTTCAACACTCAGAAAATGAAGGACAGAACCACAAGGGATGCATTCACCACAGATCAGACCAGAGCAAAGTCGGAGTTGTAACATGGTATCGACGAGGAAACCTGTGTGGAAGAATATTGGAACTCTCTGGAGGCTGTAGAACTCCTACACCAGCTTTAAACATACGCTTTTAAATCTAATTTGCATACTTATATTATTTGTTTACACAGACCTATTTTATATATACTTCGCAAACAATTGTCAATTAACTGTTGAACGTTACCTTGACATAATTTTTGAAAATTTGACTACTGCTATAACACTCGTACTCTTCGTAAGTGCCTTTTGGTTTTACGTTGTGGGCGTCGAGAAGCCACAACGTCTATGTACATTAATAGACTTGTAGAAGTACTAGGAAATACGTGTGCGTTGATTTAGTCAAAAGAGGCGATTTTCAAGGAAAAACATACTACTGTTCTGGGAAGAAGGACGAGACAAGACAAGGAATGGCTCTGTGGTGATTGACAATTTCTATCTCTGTATTGTTTAAAATACTTACTGTTGACTGTTGATATGTTTCATATATGAATTGCATAATAATTCCGCTAAATACAAATTCCTGATTGCTGCCCTCTCTGAGTTTTGGTTGGATTCGTGTAATTCCGTCATCTCGAAATACAAATATTCCAAGTACAATAAATTACTACAGGCTGTCTGCAAACATCTGCCTGAAAGCCAGTAGGGGAGAGGAAAGGGGAGGACAGAAGGATGGTGAAAGAGAAGATGACTCAATGCAGGGGTGGGCAACAGTAGGAGAATCTGAGTTCAATGTACTCTGCAATGGACAAAAAAGTAAAGAGGAGTGCTAGGAAGGACAAAGGAAAAAGTCTACGACACATTGTCAACTGGAGCAGAGCAGAAGGGCAGGCTGCAGGTAAAAGAGAGATCAGGATATTATATCAGACAACCAGGTCACTCGCTATCCAGGAAGAGATCAACTCAGTTGATGAAACCAATAAAAGATGCTCAAGGGTACCTGATTACCAAGGAAGTGAAACAAATCAAACAATGGGATGATCACTTCAAAGGAGTCCTGAATCGACCACCACCTGTATGTAATCCCACTCACCAAGCAATGATCTGAAACAGAGAGCAAAGCACACGTTAGCAGTGTGATCACACAAGTCTCGCGTGCTAGTAAAAACGGAGACTCAAGGTCAAGTATTATATTTACAACCAATCGCAATACAATTAGATAAGAGGGAAGGGCACTCCTATTGGTCATCCGTTGCCTCGTCTTGGGTAACCAATCCCTGCATACTTCGCAGCCAACCTGAAAGTAGACAAGCATAGTTTGAACACTAGAAAACCTCCGAACTTACCATGTCTTACACTATCCCGTCTCCCCATAGGAGCACTGTCCGAAGTGCTAGGTCACTGTTCCTGCAGGACTTGTCTGAACTAAGGCCTGTTGTCGAAAAGGTTTTAGTCTATTGAAGTGTGTAACTAGACTATGAGAGTTATTTGGTTCCTGAATCCTACAGGTGCAGTCACTTAATACCTCCACTACAGTGAATGGTCCTTCCCAGCGTTTATGGAATTTAAGAGCTTTCCCTTTAGGTGGTGTCTCCTTAAGTAACATCACCTTGTCTCCGGGCTCCACTGGTGATCCATGTGCTTTCCTATCATAGTATTCTTTCTGGTACCTCTGGTTTGTTTACAGTATATCCCTAGTCATCTGGTGTACCTTGTTCAGGTTTCGTCGAAGTCTGATTACGTGTTCGGATGCAATCAGTGTATCCTCTCCTAGTGTGTTTGAAGTCAGATCGATTGGCAACCGGAGTTCTACTCCAGTGACCATATAATGAGGCGTTTGACGCGTAGCTTTGTGAATGCTTGCTCTGTATGCCATTAAGCACTGTGAGAGTAATCTGTCCCATTCCCTGGGGTTGTTTTAATTTACAAATGCCTGCAAGAGAGATTTAATCGTCCGATTGGTGCGTTCAACTAAGCCATTTCCCTGTGGGTGGTACGCGGTAGTGCGTGTCTTCCGGATACCCATAATACGACAGAGTTCGCTGACAACGATACTTTCAAAGTTGGATCCTCGATCTGAGTGTAGTTGAAGTGGTGCCCCCCAACGGCTGACCCAGTGGTCAAAAATTGACTCTGCGATGGTTACAGCATCAATCTGTGGGATCGCAATAGCCCCGCACCACTTGGTAAAATGGTCTACCATGACTAAAATATAGTTATTATTTCTGGAAGTTACTGGGAGAGGTCCAACCAAGTCTATTTGTACTAAGTCATTCGGATGGCCAGTTATAATGGGTTCTAAGGGTGCCTTATTATATTTGTGCGGAGCCTTAATAGTTTGGCATACCTCGCAGGAGTCACAGAAATCTATGATGTCTTTCCTCTGGTGAGGCCACCAATAACGTCTTTTAGCCGCTTCAATCATTTTCCCTGAGCCCGCGTGGCCTAACCGCTGGTGTAATGACAACAGTACTGTGGGTAGTGCCGACTGTGGAGCCACAACGCGACGAGTATAAGTGGGTCCATGTCGGTAGTAGAGGATGTTATCGAAAACTTTCAGATTATCCCACAGAGACCACAAACACCGGGTTTCCCATCCAAGCTTACTTATTTCCTGGGTTCTCGATCGTTCGCCTCCATTTCGAACACGTTCGTAAATCAAGGCGAGTTCAGGGTCTGAAGTTCAGGCCAACTATATGAAGTATGAGCCTCTAGTTGGAGCAGCGAAACTTGTGCTTCGGTGCATGATGGGCAGTCACCGTGATACCTAAGAGGTTTTCTTGACAATGCATCTGCAAATCCATGATTCTTAACGGTCTTTGCATGCATTCGAAGTCATACTCTTGTAGGTGTTCTTGGCATCTAGCAATCTGACCCTCAGCTTCTGTCAATGGAGTTGAAGATTGAACGATCAATTCTTGGTTGTTTGCTCAAAACCAACTTCCCCAATTTTCGCGGAGGCATCAATACGACAGTCATCGTCTCATCGGTCGCTGTTCAGAAAGAAGAGTGAAACATCGTCAGAAGTAATACAATGATTTATTATTGTAATATTTGTTTTCAGACCTTAGTTCACTTATTCTTTTTATATGTTGGTGTAACAATAAAGAAATATCAAGCGGCAGATCGGTGTTTTGGTTTTTTCGTCCGTTATAACTAAGCGTTTCTGAAATCTTCAAGGAACAGCGTGGGCCCGAGCGTAGCGAGAGCTGGGCATTAACGGTTTATGAGACGTGATTGACAGTTTCTGACGGTGGAAACATTTTCTGACGGATTCAGATAGCTGGTGACAGTTTGGATAGTCACCATACATCTTTCCTGGTGCCGGTCAAGTCCTCTTTGAACAAGCAATATCTGGAACTTTTTGGAATTGGGTCAAGTCCAACAATGCCTGGGTCAAAGAAGGGACGGAGTATCTTGGATACAAACAGGAAAGTAAGTCATGGTGACTTGTCTGTTAATTGTAACGATGTGTCTGATGTTAAGCATGACATGGTTGATGTTACTGTTTCGCCGTTCAGGGATAATAGGAACATCAAACTCCCTAAATTAGAACCACGGTGTTTTGATGGAAACCCAGCTGATTATTTACAATTTGTAAAGGAGTTTGAAGTCATGTTTAGTCGTTCTTCATTAACTGATGAAAGAAGTTAATGTATTTGATGAGGTATTGCACTGGAGTTGCTGCAAGAGCTATACAGTGTTGTAAGTTTATGAAGCCAAAAGAGGGCTACTACGAGGCTATGAGCATATTACGCCAAAGGTTTGGAAGACCTTCGATGATTGCAGGGAAATTATTCGAGGCTGTTAAGGGTAATGGTGGTCAATTACAGATTGACTCCAAGGCACTCACTGAGTTTTTGGATAATTTGCTAATTTACAAGAATGCATTGATTTCGATGAATTGCATGAGTGACCTCAACTCGAGTTTTATACTAGAAGTAATAGCAAGACGTCTACCTACTCGACTGCAAAGGAAGTGGGTGAAGATAAGCTCCCGTATGGAGGATGAGGGTATCGAGCCAAAGTTTGATGATATCCTGAAACTAGTGAAAGACAGTGTCAATCAATCTATGAGCAAGTTCGCCAGTATATTGCATCTCACCCCTAGAATAGAACAGTCTGAGATCAAAATGCGATCATTGATGACGAGTAGGCCTCAGAGAGGTGGATATCGAGAAGACTCCATGATGTCTAGTAATGCATATAGACCTAGTGAGTGTAACAGGTTTCGTAGTACACCCTCAACAGATAAGTTACAAGATGCAAGACAAACACGGTTGTGTTTTACACGTTTTCAAGAGGTGCATACAAAGGTGAACTGTGAATCAGTGAGCAATTTCAGTGATAAGCTAAATGTAAAATCAAGGTCTGACTCCGAATTGTGTGACGATAACGGTGTTGTGAAGAAGTCTGTAGTTGCAACTGGTAAGCCGTTGTTGAATAGTAAGTCACAGAATAGAGTTACTGCTTCAGAGTGGAGTTCTCACTCCACAAGTTTACAAAGTATAACTAGTCAGAGTGAAGATATAAAACCTTTAATGATTTGTGAGGAGGAACCAAAATTGTCTACTTCTGTTATTAAAGAGTTTGAAAATGATGAAGTTGACGGTAAAGTGAATATTCGTGATAATGATCATGATAGTGCACATTTGTCTTTGGTTGATCATTATGAGATGAGGGATATGCCTACTACTGCTAAGTTGAACAAAGGTTCTGTACAACTACAACGTGAAGTAGAATTGAACGCAGATGCAGTTGCAGAAGGTATGCATACTTGTGAGACCGTCAGTGTGATTGATCAGCGTGTAGCCCACCTATCATCAGATGATAGTGCTAAACCCGAACTAGTAGTGAAAGACAGCAATGGTGGTGGTCTTGCAGGTAGAAAATTTCTGAAAGCCGAAAAAGAACAGCTTCTGATCCACCGCTAAGTTCATCAACTGGTATCAATCAGTCGTCGTTAATGTTGTCATCCACAATGGCAGAGACGCCCATCAACTCAAGTACCTTGTGCAATGACTATGATAGTATTGATGCATTTGAAAAGACGAAAGATACTGCTCAGTTTAGTGAGAATAAGCCAAGTGTAAACGAAAGAGTAATTGTTAAATTGACTTGCATGAATAAAGGCATTTCTAGTTTCAAGTTACTAATTGAATGCTATTATCTTTGGTGTAAATTACTCTGTTTCTACGCTTGGTTGGCCAGATACGTCGTGTGTTTGTTAGTCATCTATATTCTACGATACAATGACATGAGCGTGTTTCCGTTCAGATTTGAGGATATAGCTGATAGAAGGAAGTCAGCAAATGAACTCTGCGACGATTTTCCAACCTAGGGCGTCAACCTGAGAAGGGTTGTAGGCGTACTGCTGTAAGTCCTACAATTCTTCAAAGGGTAGCGCATCAATGAGGAGTCCAATGTGCTTGGTGTATGATCTTGTACATATGTTCATATTGTATACACTGAATTGATATCATCTGTCATCTAGCTGTTGGTAATTCTGTTTGTGTCCGGACGACTTCCACTTGGATCATCAACCTGAGAAGGTATGTAGGCGTACTGCTGTAAGTCCTACAGTTCTTCAAGGGTAGTTTGTCGTGCTAGAATCCACAACATTTGATGTGTTGATTGTACATATGTTTGTGTTAAATAATTGTGTGAGTTCCAATTATCGTAATTGTTGGTTAATCTTGTTTGTGTCCGGACATTCCACAAATTACAATCGTCAACCTGAGAAGGGTTGTAGGCGTACTGGTGTAAGTCCTGAGATTCTTCAAAGGAATTCCACCAAGGCAGAATCGGCGAGGTTGTTTGTACTATTTGTATACACGTGTGGTGTGTCATATCAATTGGTGTTTTTTGGATTCATTGTGTTTACTTGTTGTTTTCGTATCTTGTTGTTATTGCGTAATTTTGTTAAAATTTTCGTCGTGATTACTTCTGATGTTGTGTCCACTCTTCTACATCCGTGAATGAATTGATTGATGTTAAGGACAGCAGATGGGTCGTATACGCCGGGGAGGCTAGGCTATTGCTGAGAATGAAATGCACACGGAGATAATTGTTAGCTGCGGTCCCACACGCCGGGGAGAAAGAGTGTAAACGACTGAGGCTAACATGCGTCACCGTTACTAGAACTGAGGCAGAATGAGTGACAAGCGATTTCAGTGGTAATTGGTAATGAGTAGATAAGAGGATGTGCGTAGAGTATCGTGAGGTGGTGACATGGTCACTTTGCATTCTGTAGGAGTCATTCTAGCAAATGGCGATTGTGTTGCAAGATGTCAAGAGGAGGTCTCTGTCTGGAGGCGCAGGTCGTCAGCGATGTGTGAGATTGTGCTGTGGGTATGCTTGTGGTGTGTTGGCTTTTCTGTTTGTTTTCCATTTCAGCTCTGTCCGTGTGACCCAGGTTCTCGCAATGGCATCGAAGTCAACGTGTATTGGCCGTGATGCAAAAAAGGGATGGATCTGTATTTTGCCGGGGAGTGTCAATGTAGTTGCAGATTGAACGATCAATTCTTGGTTGTTTGCTCAAAACCAACTTCCCCAATTTTCGCGGAGGCATCAATACGACAGTCATCGTCTCATCGGTCGCTGTTCAGAAAGAAGAGTAAAACACCGTCAGAAGTAATATTATGATTTATTATTGTAATATTTGTTCACAGACCTTAGTTCGCTTATTCTTTTTATATGTTGGTGTAACAATAAAGAAATATCAAACGGCAGATCGGTGTTTTGGTTTTTTCGTCCGTTATAACTAAGCGTTTCTGAAATCTTCGAAGAACAGCGTGGGCCCGAGCGTAGCGAGAGCTGGGCATTAACGGTTTATGAGACGTGATAGAGAGCTTCTTTGAAGTTATGTAGCCAGCTAAGGGCTTTGTGATCAGTGCGTACAATGAAATGTCTACCGAGGAGATATGCCCTAAAGTGTTTAACAAAATTGACCAGTGCCAGCATTTCTTTCCGCGTGGTGCAGTAATTCTTCTCACTCTTGTTGAGTGCTCGACTTGCATAGGCTATCACCTTTTCTACTCCATCTGCGTCTTTTTGAGACAAAACTGCCCCGATACCAGAGTCGCTAGCATCTGTATCTAGGATGAATGGACCTGCCTGGTCAGAAACATTGGGATACGCTAGGATAGGGGGGCTACATAAACAGTTTTTAAGTCTTTCGAAGGCTTCCGTAGCTGATGCTGTCCAATTGTAGTCTTTCTTCTTAAGAATGTCGAATAGAGGAGCTGCAAGGAAAGAGAAGTTAAGTACAAAACGTCGATAATACGAGGCTAACCCTAAAAAACTATGTAACTCGGGGGCTGAGTTTGGGAGCGGCCAGTCTTTAACTTCCTGAACTTTTGCTGGATCACATTTAATGCCTTCGGCTGAAACAATGTGACCTAAGAAACACACTTCTTTCCTGAAGAATTGACATTTCGATGGGTTCAGTTTTAACCCAACGGTCTGCATCCGTT